TTTCCAAGCCATTACACAACACTGTTCTGGGGTTAACAAACCAAAAACATCTGGGAATAATCAAAGCTATTTATGCTCTGGGAAAGCATGGCTGGAGAAAGTTTGAAGGAAGCAACTTGAAAGCTCAGCATTGTTAAAAACAGTTCTGGAAGCCCTGAAAATTAAAACTAGGGTAACATCTACAAAGAGTGAGGAAGTATCAAGAGAAGGATCTAATATCCTCTGCGGAGCAGAGAGAGATGGAATGAATTGTAATGATTGAGCCTTTACTAAGCTACAGGGCATTAAAAATTGCTTTGGAACAAACAAATCTGCCATTCCTGCCGTTTCCACTGGCAGGAGAGCAGAGGGAAAGACCAGGGGTCTGGCTTAAAAGCAGCCTGGGGATTGGCAGTGTGATTTAGAGACAGATAACTGCAATCCTCCAAGTGCCTGGTACTGGCCATGCAGAGCCCAGAGCGAGCAGTACCTGCCAGGGCTGGCTCAGGGGGGATGCAGGGTGTGCAGGGGAGGTTTGGGGCTCAATGCCATCCCTGTCAGGGTGTCACCAGCCAGAGTATAGCTGGGGCAGGGAGGAACATAACCTGCAGGCTCTGCTTTCCAAGTGGCAGGATGTGTGCTTGGGATGGCCAATGGCATTGCCATGGGAAGGGGAACAAGAGAGGTCCTGGTTCCTGGGGATGTTCCTGCTGGAGGTTGACAGTGCCTTGCTGCCTGTCAGTGTGGGGAATGTGCTCAGATCTCCTCTGGCGTGGGAGTTCAAATGATCCTGGGATCATCCTCTGAGCCTGGTGGATAACCCAGGGCTGGCAGCAGGGACTGGTGCTCCTTGTGCTTGCTGAGCTACCTGCAGCACTGACCCTGCTCCTTCCTCAGCAACCTGGGGGCAGCTTCCCCGGAATGACTCAGGGAGCCACCCCCATTGATGAAAATCTCCTCTTTTAGCATCACTTGGAGGCAAGTCTGTTGCTGGGAAATCTCATTTATGCTGATTGGTAGAAGCTTTAATCTTGGAGGGCCTCTCTCTGTGCTTTCCATTCCCTCTTGTACCACTTTACATCTCCCCCTACTCCTGCCTCTGGCTTGGTCTGGAATAAAAGAGATCTCTCTCTTTCCATCCCTCCATCTGAGAGATGGAGAAGTAGCCTGGGCATGTGGAGGGTGAGCACCCTGGAGGAAGGACAGTGGGACTGCCAGCCACCACAGGAGCCATGGAAATGGTTAAAGATTTGGGGAATCCAGATCTGCTGCATCTTCTGTGACAATCTGGCCTCCCCAGCATCCCTGTAAATGAGAAACCACATAAGCCTCGCACTCTATTATTGCTACAGAGCATTAGAGTCTCTCATTTAGGATAAACATTCTCATCTCCAGCAGAGCATGAATAACATTAAATGAGATAGTTAAAATGTTTCAGGCCAATTATAGCCCCGGTGTAACTTCGGCAGAGTTACACCAGGGATTAATTTGATCCGGAGAGCTCTGCCTCCTGTTCCGAACTGGGATTCCAGCACGGGTAATTACATCCTGCCTCTCTGCACTTCCTCTGGAGTTTTAATTGGGTTGAATGGACTCAAATTCTGCTCTTTTCTTCAGAAAGCCACCGAATTTCCGAACTGCTACACAGGCTGAGGGAGCTCTGCCCTTCCTCTCTGCTGTGCTGGTAAGGGCCAGGTCTGCTCTGGGGTGCTGACAGCCCAGCATGGGTGCACAGCAGCCTGCACCCCTCTGTACCTTCTGCTGGTAAACCCACCAATCTCCTGTTGGGGGTCCAGCTCTTGCCTCCCAGCCTGGATTGCAGAGCAGGCTCCTCGTGCACTGAGACAGGCAGCTGGACTGTCTCCCTCTTCTACTTCCCAGCCTTCTCAGTAAATCAGTGTTAATGAGGGACATTTGACCCTCTCTTTCCCTGAGCAGCCTTATGAAGCATTTTTGTTCCATGAGATAGTTAAGAAACGTGAAGCAATTTCCTCTCCTTGCTTCTCCTCTATTTTTTTTTTTTTTTGGTGGATTTTCTTTTTCTTCTTTGAGAAAAGGCAAAGTTACAGGCCACACACAGCCTTTAGGATGCCTCAGAAGTGGGAGCAGAGGAGAGACAGCAGGGTCTGATGTGAAGGGGATGGAGCAGCCAGGCCAGTCAAGATGAGGTGACCCCAGCCCTGGTCCACTTGGTCCATCAGAGAGACCACGTGTGCAACTGAGACAGGAGGGTCGGAGCTGGGAAAGTGCACTGGCTGGCTGTGATTAGGAATTTAATTGTGAAGGAATCGAATTCCGAGGCATTATCTCACTGAGTTGGAGCAATACAGAGCCATACATCCTCCATAGCCAACTGTACACAGGGGTGAAGGCAGAGGGAAGGGTGCTGGGAACGGTCTCCCTCGCAGATTTCCAGGACTTTGTGCTGCTGTGTGGTCCATTTCCCTTCTCACAGAGCAATGACGAAAACAGACAGTCGGATAAACCCCGGGGAGCTGGGCCCAGCCCCCCAGCCTCGCCCCCTCCTCCAGGCTGTGTGGGACTGCGGGTCCCACTCCACCTCCACCCCCCCAGCTGGGAGTAGCCCCCTTGCCTTTCATTTCCCTTTTTGCTTTTCCCACACTGCATTTCAGTGGGGACGGAGATGGAAAGAAGAAGAGCAGAGCTGTCACAATCCTTCCTTCCTCCTCAAACAGACGGCATCTCCTCAGTGGGATAACAACAGCGAGACCACGATGGTGTGACCGTGTCCATCAGCCTCCTGACCTGGAGGAGACCTTCAGCATCCTCTGGAGAAGTGCTGGTGACACCCTGCCTGCCCCATGAGGGCTGCCATGACCTCTTCTGCTCTTCTTATAAAACGGAGGGTGATTTTGGCTGGTAGAGAGAACACGACGAACGAGGTCAAGCGAATTCCCACTCCCACCCGCCCAGGGCCTTCCAGGACCATCCCAAATCTCCGTGCAGACCACAAACACCTCGTCGTGGCCAGCAAGCCTAGCACAGTTTGCCTGCTCTGAGCTCAGCTGCTGGCTGCGGCTGACTGAGTAAATAAAGAACATTTCTCACAGAATCCACCCTCTTGGAGGTCCCCAGGCGAAGATCTGGCCTTTCCATGGCTCAGGAAACCTTTATCCCCCAAATCTGCAGCAGCCCCGAGCTGCAGTTGATTCGGTAAGCGATGTTTGCACACCCAGGTTTGCAGTGCAGGGACCCTGTTCCCGGCAGCACCGTGACATTTGCAGGCGCCATTTCCATCTGGCCCCCTTGCTGTACTTTCTGGGAGGTTTTGTGTGCTAGTCCAGATGGGGGGAAAGGTCAGAATTATTGATGGAAGGTCCAGACTAAAATCTGGACTTCCCTAAGCCTAGGATGACCGTGCCTGGGCTAACCCTGCAGATCAGGGCTCTGGTGGGCTCCCCTCAGCAAGGCTCTTCTCCTAGTCTTTGGGGCTCTCATAGCTCCAGCACACACCCATATTTCTTGGGGTTCTTCTGCATCCTTTTTCTGACCTTGCAGATCCTCCTTGTTGCTCATCTCTGCCCACCCAGAGCTGAACAGCCTCCACCCTGATGCCTCCTCTGCAGCTAAGCCCTTGACCTTTATTTTCCCTTAAATCAATACCTAAAAGCCATGCTACAGCAATACCAGCATGTCAGGGGAATCCAGGTGATTTATATCATCTGAGGAGCTGATTCTGCTTTTGAGGCTCAATCCTGGTACGCTTTTGTCTTTTCAGCTCCCAATCTCTTCTGCACTGTCTTCAGGTCAGTATTATATTCATCCCCTGACCTCCCTCCCTGGCATTATTGACTCTGTATCTTGGTTTTAATCTGCTATAAAATGAAGGCAGCTCCAGGTAAAAGCAGTTCAGTCCTTCCTGATCATAATACTTCTTTTGCCAAAAAGAAGGAAAAAAAATTGTTAGACACGAGCTGAAGTTGAAAAGGCTTAATTAAAAAACTTACGGGGGAAAAAAGCCACGGGGAAAACTCTACAGACTTTTGTGAAATTCTCACTGTGGAGAATCAAGCTGCTGGGAGCTCTTGTTCATATCTCTGGCTTTACCTCCACGGCAGGGAGGTGACCCTACAGCCCCAGGCTGGGGAGAGGGTGCTGCCATCAGCCAGGAGCATCCTGGATAGGAGCCGCATCCCAGGCTTCTTCCCCCCCATCACTGCTCAGCCACTCTCCTCCCTCCAATGCTGGGTCCTGCTGCGGCTGTCTGCAGTGATTGGCTCTCAGAAGGAGCAAACAGCCTGTTTTGGGTGCAAACAGGGTGTATTTGCCAGTGAAAATTCACACTAGCCCTAGTGGTGAGGCCAGCACAACTGTGCCCATAGAAAGGATTAAGCCTGTAACTACTCTGCTCATCAAAAAAACCCAAGACCTGTCTCCTTCTGTCTAATATTTATTGGCAAAAGCTTCGGGAACTGCTTTTTCAGTGAGTTGAAGCTGATGTTTGCGAGCCCACCATTCCCAATGACTGATCAGATAGACTTTTCCCATCAGAGCATTTATTTTTCCAACAGGACACCAAGTCCTGAAACAAATGAGGGCTTGCACAAGAAATCCTCTGCCTCAGTTTGGCAGCAAACAGAAAATAGGAATATTTTTCTTTATTCTAATACCAAATTTTTGTGGCTAAATAGAGCCAAAAATATATCTCACCCCCCTCCCCCCCACACTTCTCCCAGACACGAGACATCTCCGAAAGCCGAAAGCAACTTTTCCCTGCCGCAAATGGACCAAATAAACCCAGCACGAGATTGGTGTTTAGGAGAAACAGATGCACCTCTAATGCTGTCATCTACAGCAAGCTGTGCCCGCAAACTGATCTTTTATTAATGTTTTTATAGCGATGGGAAAGCTGCAGGGCAGGGTCCCCGATCGCCCCGTGCCTGCAAGCTGCACTATGGCTGGGGCTGCTGGACACAACCCAACCCAGGGCTCAGCCTCAGGCAGGCAAAGTTCCTTCCTGCACCAGTGTTTAAGCCAGAGCCTGGCTCTCCCTGAGCTGTGGGAGGGCAGCTGGGTGATGTGGATCCATCCACCGGTGTTCAGGTCGGTGTCGTGGGTTGGTCTGTGGAGGGTTTTGGTGTGTGCCGAGGATGGGATGGGCTGGGTGCTGGCTGCAGGAGGAGAGGGAATCATTGTTAGATGTATGCTCAGAGCTGAGACAGACAAGGCTAGAAGTCTGGGGGGATCTGCCAAAGGGAAGGCAGGGCAAGGTGAGGCCCTGAGCTGCTCTGGGCATTCAGCACTCCCGGGGGAGATTAGGAATGAGTCCTGGCCTCAGTTTGCCCCCAGAACCCCATACACATGCCCCTGCCCAGCCCAGTGTCCCCTCAACACCAAAGGTTCTCTCCCAGGGCCAAGGTGTGAGTTGCTCCACCTTTTCTGGGAGCCACAGACAGACACCCCAGAGCCAGCTCTCACTCCCTGGGGGCACTGAACAGGACACAAAGCCACATCAGTCACAAATTCCACACAGAACCACAGAACTGCTTGGTTTGGAAGGGATCTTAAAGATCATCCCACCTGAAGCCCCTGCCAGGGGCAGGGACACCTTCCATTAGACCAGGTTGCTCAAAGCCCCATCCAACCTGGCATCACAACATTTCCAGGGATGTGGCATCCACAGCTTTTCTGGGAAACCTGCACCCCATCCCAGATGGATTACCACTGGCTCTGCTGCCTTTTCTGTCCCTACAAGATACTCCTGACATCCAGACAGTGGGTGGGAGGCCACAGAGCAAGAGCTGGATGTGCCCTCACCTGGGAACTGAGCTGCTACTGAAAGTAATTGGCAAAATGGGGTTCCAGGCTCTACTTTCCTTTCCCTAGAGTGAGACACTTTTCTTGAGACTTCACAGGCTCAGCAGAAGGCAGGAAGTAATCCTGGGTGAAACAAGAGAAAAACATCATTAAAATGCGACCAGGCTTTTTGCCCCAAGCTAACACTTCCTTTCCACAGTTCCCCCAAACCTGCAGCATCTCAGGTAACTGCTACATCCCACCTGGCTTTTACTCCCAAGTGGTGTCACGTGGTGTTTGTGTCGGAGTTGGCCTCAGTCCTGGTCTCTTCCTCTCCCTCGGAGTGCCTGGGGACAGAGGAGATGGGATGAGCTGTGGGCAGCATTGCCAGCTGCTGCCCCTTTCAAAAGGAAAGTGAGAACTCTGTAACAGCAAATCCCCCTTTTCCCTGCTCCCCACGGCTCTCCAAAGCAGTGTGCAGCAGCAGGGTAAATGTCCCTTGCAGGGGGACCAGGCTCTTCAGCTCAATCCCACAAGGAATTTCTGCAGCACAGTTTAGCCTGGAATATGCTAATTTAATCCAACAATGCTTTTTTCCTTTTTTTTTTTTTGCTAGTAAATAAATAAATCATGAAAATTCTCCATCACTCTCTCCAACCAGCTGTCCCTGTATCACGGCCCACCCTTCCCCTGGGCTTTGGAACTGGGTCAGTGAGCAACATCCAGCAGTGGTTGCTTCCCACTGAAATTCATAGAAAGCAGATATAGCCCCTGGTGCTTTGGAGTGAGTTTGCCTTCCCAGCACGAATCTCAGCCAGCCCAGAGTGGGGTGGTTGGAGGAGCAGGAGATGCCCAAGCACAACCCTCAAAGGGAGCAGGGGCTCTGCCAGCAGCACTTCCCTGCATCCCACGGCCATGCTGGGGGTCGTGGCTTTGCACCTTCACTACCTGGTGGGGACTGGATGTCTTTGAACCTCCATCCCCTGCCAAACTTGGCTGAAATAAGCCAGCAGGCTTGAAAGCCATCTGGGGGAGCAGACACACGTGTGTGCAGGGACACACACAGAGAGCAATCACACAGCACTTACTGCTGGGGAAACCAGGCAAAAGGGGGAGCAGCTTCAGGCTGTGATTTTGGCCTTGCTCTGCCTGGTTGCACCCCACAGTAAAAGGGAATTTGTGCTCTGTGTGTTGGGGACCACATCTTGGGACAGAACATGCCTCATCATAGGGAACGTGGCTGAAACAAGTGCAGGGCCTTGAGCTGCCAAAGGAGACCTGCAGAGCCCAGAGAGGTGGGTAAAACCCATCTCCACCTCCAAATACCCAGCTGGTTTTTCGACTTGTGAAGCACAGCTCCTTTACAGTGCTAGAATTTGGGGTCACTTTCAATAACTCACTCCAAAATCAGAGGAAGAAGCCAGAGACGCTCTCTGAGTCACTGGCATGTTGTTACCAAGGACACTAAGGTTCCTGATTCTGAAGAAGAGATTAATTACATTCTACAAATAGACATTTTATCTGCGCTGAAGAGCAGCAAGAACGAGTTCTTTCAGTGTAGCTCATTATGTATCAGCAGGTAGTATTGTGACAGATGTAGGAATACAGTCGTATTGTCACTTGGGTTTAATCATCAGAAAGCTGTCTTTCCCGGGTCAGCTCCTAGTGAGGATTTGTAATATTTACATAGCACTTGGGGCTGGCTTCTTTATTGCTGGAGTCTGTATTCACTCGTCAGTCGCTCATTATGCATGTGCCAGTATTAATTGCATTTAGAAATGAGATTCTAAAGGAGAAGTGAGACCTCCATTCAGCTTGAAAGACAGCAGCCTTCTGTGTGACAGCTCTCGAGATGTTCTTGTGCTCAGCTCTCTCTCCAGCTGAAAAGCAGGTGTTGGAGAGAGTTGGTGTCGGAGCCACTGTATCAGCACTGCCTTTTGTGCATGCCCAGACATTTATATAACCGACAGGATAATGACTCCGCAGAAGTGGCACAGAATTGACCCTTCTGGTACTGGATTGAACACAGCAAGGGAGAGAGCGGATCTGCTCCGCTGCTGTGCAGGCGGGAGGGGGGAAGGCGATGCCGAGCCTTATCTCCCGTGGAAAGAGCGGGGTTGTTTTCTTGCCGGTGGGTTTGGGGGTTATTTATCGGCTCGGCTGTGCCTGCAGCACTTCGGAGCGGCGTTTGTGGCCTTGCTAATGTATTTAAAGTCGCACAGAGATTCAGCTGACACTTGTCTGTGCCTGCCTGCTGCGCGCTGATTGCTCCAGCCTGGGGATGCAGAGCCGCGTGCCACCGCTCCCGGCTGCCAGCCGTGCCTGGGCGCTGGAAATGAGGAGGTCACGTCCTGCTTCCCAGAGGGAAATAAGCTGGAAGGTTAATCTGGATGATGCCACGCTGGCGGCTTTGTTTTCTCCAGCCTGGGGTGCAGGGGGTCTGTTCTTGCCTTGCAGCACCACGTGTAAGGTGTGACAAAGGTGTTCTCGTGGGGGGAGAGATTGCCACAGGCACTAAATGCTTCCTCTCTCCAGGGCCCTGGTTCCCAGTCCTAGAAAAATTAACTCCTCTGGGGCTTGGGAAATTCATGTCCAGCCTGTTGGGAGGGGGCTGAGAAAACAGCAGCAAAGCAAATACAGATTTCACTTCCCCAAAGAGCCTCCTTTGCTTTGCCATAGTCCAGCACTGCCCCACCAAGCCTGATCCCTCTCCAAGAGCTCTCCGTGGAGCACATCTCCCCTCACAGACATGACTCGTCCCAGCAGGCTCCTGTGGGTGCTCCTGTGCTCCTCTGAGTTCTCCTGCACTACCTTGGGTGTTCAGTGCCCTGCATCTCCCAGTGCTGGACTGGTACCAAACCCCAACCCTGGGTTCCATGCCAGCCGCATTTCTACCTCCCCAAAATCAGGAGCAGCTCCAACCGGGAAGGGACAGGAGGGGAGGAACATGAGAAAGGCAAACAGAACAGACATCCATAACCAGCCCTGGCCCCCGGCCAGGACCTCCTCATTAAATATCACATACAACAAAGAATAAATCACTGCTTGTTGAGGTAATCCAAGAACCGAAGCCCAAGGAGTCCCTCTTGACCTTCCTGTCCCTTGGCGGGGTGTTAGTCCAGGGCAGTGTTCCAGTTTGCTTTTCAGCTCCAGCGAGGTGGGGGATAACAGATCCCATGGTCGGGATGCTAGGAGGAAACTCCTCAAACCTCTCCTTTGGAGATGGTGGCAGCCAGCTCCAGGGGCCACCCCTAACCCCACAGCCCCCAGCTGAGCCCCCCAGCCCTGCGAGTGTGGGACAAGGACAACCTGAGCCATCCCTGGCGGCCCCAAGGTATATAAATAGAAGACAGGGACGTGAAGGAGGTCAAGTGAGCAGAGGATTTCACATAATCTGATCTTGCCTGTGTTGTTCATTTGTGTCCTTTGCCCAGGACGCACGCCCTGCTTCGCACACAGGGACGTCAGAGACAGAGGGTTGATCCTGCACCGAGCCAGGTTTATCCCGTGGAACATGCAGGCTCCTGAGTTTTTCTTCATGTGTGCTGTTTTTTCAGGGATGTCTTTAATCCAGTTGTCATCCACAGCAGTGTACATATGGAAAATCCTGGTCTTTGTTACTCTGTGGGGTCCTGGTGTCTGACCAGACTGAGCCTGGTCCTCTAGCTTGCCAAAATCCAGTTGGATCAAAACCATATTGGGGCTCTGGTGCCACAGGTCTGTTCCTGGTCTTGAGAATGCTGCCTGCTCTCCACCAGCCCCATCTGAAACCCTGGGCCACTCTGCCTTGGTCTCCTGTACCACTTCTCCCCAGTCCCTGTGGGACTTTTCTCTTGCTTTTGCTACTTCTCTTTTCCAGGATACAAAAGGCTGAAGACAGAATCTCTCCTGGTACAGAGCTGCCAGTGTAATGGCTCTGATTTATGCCAGCACAGAGCAAGGCAAGTGGATGAATGTCCAAAATAGAGCAAGTAGAGAATCTGTTAATAGGCACTGGTCTTTAATGGTGAGAGCAATTAATCACCAAAAGAATTAACCCAGAGGCACGCAGCTTCTCTGTGGGCTGTTGCTGTCTCACCAACCACACGCTGATGATAGTGATGGTGGTGATTGTGAAACCAGTGGGGTGGTAGGACTGACCAGGCTGCAGGGCCCCAGTCTGGATGTGGTGGAAGGAGCGCTGATCCTGCCATGAGCAGGAAGGGCAGCACCAGTGTCCCTCCCAACCCCAACTTTTTCAGCTCCAGGCTCATTCCTATCTCCTGCTGTGTGGATTTGAGCTTTTCCATTTCTTGCTCCTTACAAGCTGCCCTCTCACACTGCTCCCATGGGCAGGGCTTGTGCTGCAGCTGGATCTGCCTTCCCAGGACTAGGGCACTGCACTGTCTGCACACTGTGCCTTCAGTGCCATCTCTCCAGGTGACCTGTCCCCCAGCTACCCACCTGCCCCATGTGTGGGCAGGGCTTCCCAATTGTCCTGCAGCCTCCAAAGGGACAGACCTGCAGGCTGCCAGCCACCCTCATACCCCCTGCCCAGAGATAGCCCCCACCTCTGCTCAGGCACTCAATGAATGTTGAATTCCAACGGTGCTGTGCTGCAGGTAGCATAGGGAGGGCCGGGACACGCAGGCCAGATGCCTTCCCTGCTTTGAGTCTAGTTTCTCCCTCCCCTGACTTAATTGGCTCATTAAGTGCCAATTTGACCTCCACACTTTCAGATGTCTCCAGTCTCCAGTGGTAAATAGATTTGCGCGTCTCCAGCGGAAACCTGCTCGGGCTGAGCCTGGTGCTGGAGCAGGGGGCAGCACAGCAAGAGGGGGTGATGCTCGGCCTCGCCGTGAGCATGGCCCCTCTGCCACCGAGCTGAAGCCAAGCGAGAGCTGAACGGGAACAAAACTCCCTCCCAAAAGGCACGGGGGAGCTGCAGGTAGTGGAAGCCGCAGCCGCCGGCACCGTGCCCGTGGCGCAGCGGGGAGGCACCGAGCAGGAGGTGACCCTGCCCTCCTGTCGCAGCTTTGTCATTGCCTCGGTGTGGGACTGCAGCAAGTCCCTTCCCATCTGCTCCCTGCCATTGCCTCGGAGCCAGGAGGAGTGTGAGCGTGTGTGTGAACACGGAGCGCAATGCAACAGGGCCACGGCTGCAGGGCGGTGGCTGCTGACTCTGCTGAGAGCCAACGTTCAGCCAATGCTCTCAAGCATCCTACGTACCCAGACACTCATCCAACCTCCCAGCACCCCAAGGATGGAGCAGGATCTCCCTGGGGCTGTTTTACACCAGCCGAGTGCTGCTGAGTGTCACTGGTAGCCTGGTGATGTCCCCACAGCTGAGATTACTGTTCAGTCTCCTCCCAGGCTGAGGCATGAACACAGGCAGGCAGCCAGGCTGCTTGCCAGGATGGATGGCAGGGACTGGACTGCTCCATT